CTCAGGATCATCCCGTTGACGTCGTGCCATATCGTCGGTGTTCACTGCTCCTAGGAAGCACTCGTCGTCATTGTCGTCGCTGCAGCCGGAAGGGGTTTCGACGGGGGCTCTGGACAGGCAGTCGGCGTCGCTGTGCTTGCGGCCTGACTTATAGACCACTGTCATGTTGAACTCTTGTAGTCGAAGACTCCATCGAGCGAGGCGTCCTGACGGGTCCTTCAGCTTCGCAAGCCAGCAGAGCGAGTGGTGGTCCGTGACTACACGGAACGGGCTCCCGTACAAGTACGGACGAAACTTCGTTATTGCCCAGACGACCGCAAGGTATTCTTTCTCAGTTGTGGAGTAATTTTTCTCCGCCTTGGACAATGTCCGACTTGCGTAGGCGATGACTCGCTCGATGCCTTCTTGCACTTGGAGTAGTACTGCGCCCAGTCCCGCGTTACTTGCGTCCGTGTGAATTTCTGTTTCCGCATCCTGGTCGAAATGTCCAAGCACAGGAGGAGTCTGGAGTCGTCGTTTCAGTTCGTCGAATGCCTGCTGTTGCTCCTCGGCCCATTCGAACTTCTCGGCCTCCTTCGTGAGATTCGTAAGTGGTGCGGAAATTCTTGCGTAATCAAGAACGAAGCGTCGATAATAGGCACAAAGTCCAAGGAATCTTCGCACGGCCTTCTTATCTGTCGGCGCTGGAAATGCCGCGACGGCGCGAGTCTTCTCGGGGTCTGGGCGGACGCCTTCGTTACTAAACATGTGGCCAAGGAACTTCAGTTCGTCATAGGCGAACCGGCACTTTGACGGCTTGAGTGTGAGTCCGGCGGTCTGAATGGCTCGAAGAACAGCTCGGAGTCGTCTCAAGTGCTCGTCGAAGTCAGCTGAAAATACTACGACGTCGTCAAGGTGTCGAGACAACTCTGCCACTTCAGCCCTGCCGGTACGGTGTCCATGACACGCTGGAAAGTTGCTGGCGCCGTGCATAGTCCGAAGGGCATCACCTTGAACTCGTACAGTCCATCCGGCGTGACGAAGGCTGTCTTCTCTCGGTCCCGTTCGTCGACCTCGATTTGCCAGTAGCCGCTCTTCAGGTCCATCGATGAAAAGTATCGAGAGTGGCGCAGCCGGTCTAGAGTGTCGTCGATGCGGGGGAGTGGATAGACGTCTTTCTTCGTAACCGTGTTGAGCTGCCGGTAGTCCACGCAGAACCGAAGAGTTCCGTCCTTCTTCTTAACCAGCACGACTGGAGAGGCCCATGGACTGCTTGAAGGTTGGATTATGTCGTCATTCAACATCTCTTGAACTTGCTGATGGATCACCTCCCTTTCCTTAGCGGTGACTCTGTACGGCGATCGATGCACAGGGCGCGCGTCGTCCTCGGTAACGATGCGGTGCTTGGCAACCGCGGTCTGGCGCACCTTCGACGACGTCGCAAAGCAGTCGCGGTATTCGGCGAGGAGGTTAACCAGCTGACGCCGTTTAGGGTCCGAAAGCTTAGGGTCAATGTCGAGCTGCGCTGGCGACGTACGGTCTTGCTGGGGCGGCGAGGATTCGTCAGTAATCGCGGTGATTTCGGCGGGGTTTCGGAGTTTCTCGACGTGGCCCACGGCTGCACCTTTCGTGAGGTGTTGCGTTTCGTTTCGGAAGTTCGTCACGAGTGCCACAGTCCGCCCATCCTGTAGTTCAGCTACTCCCCTTGCGACACCTATGCCTCTTCCCAGGAGCAATTGGAGGCTTCCCTCGAGAAGAACTTCGCCGCAGGAAGCTTCATCGATCCCGACAAGTACGAAAACACTCGACCGCGGTGGTAGGTTTACGTGGTTTGCGAGGACTCGGACCGTGGGTGACGTCGCTTGGGGTTCCTCCGCTGGTGGGGCCGGTTTTCGTAGCGTCAGCCGGTTTGTTCCGAGGTCGATGACGGCGCCATACTCGCAGAGGAAGTCCATTCTGAGGATAACGTCCCTCGAACAGTCTTGCAGAACGACGAACTTGACAGGGCACGTTTCACCGTGGATCTCGACGCGAGCAGTGCATCTCCCGACTGGTGTGATGAGATGTCCTCCGGCGGTTCGTATTTGGGGTCCTTCCCACGACGTCATGACTTTTCGAAGGCGGCGGGAGAGCCTCCCACTCAAGACTGAGTAGTCTGCTCCGGTGTCCACGAGTGCCGATGCGTCGTGGCCGTCGATGACGACGTTTAGGTTGTTGGACACCGTTGCAGGGGCGTCGTAGCGATGCGTGGCGTCGGGAGAGTGGGAGCGCTCCGGCGTTCTTGGAGGCTCTTTACTCGGGTCGCCTTCAGCAACGGCACCTCCAGGCGTTGCCGCATTTAGTTTTCCCGACGAGATAGGGGGGACAGGCTGTCACGGCGCGACCGACGGAAAGGCGACGCGGAACGTCGGGGGGATGGAGACCGGGAACCTCGTGGTGCGGTAAGCGCTGGTGACGGAGGGCGACGGAGGTATTCATCGATGTCCCTTGGTCGTTCTCCAAAACGAGGTCGACGGTCGTTTGGAGCGAATCCTCGCAGGCCGAGCTGGGGGTAGGGGCACCTCCGGTAAACGTGGTCAGCCTCCCCGCAGTGGAAGCACACCGGGCGTCCGTCATCCGTGCGCCACACGTCGGTCTTTCGAAGTCCACGCTGCTCTTGGCGCGGCGCGTACTGCGGCGAAGAGACTTCTCGTTGGGGTGCAGATGGGTACTGCCGAGCAATAGGAGGCTGCGGACGACGAACAACGGCAGCATAGGTCACAGCTGGTGGTTCCGGTGCGGCGTCGGCGAGAACGTCTGGCTGGAGCGCTTGCTGGACCTCTTCTCGAACAATCTCGGCGATCGAGAGTGAAGCTGGACGTTCGGTGGCAGGTATCAGCTTGTTCAGTTCTTCACGGACGATGTCCCGGACTATTTCTCGGATCCCTGGAATATTGGGGCTGAGGGCGCAGCTTGACGGCGTGGGTGCAGCGACGGCAGGAGCTCGGTGGAAGTGAGCGGCTCGTGCTTGCAGGGCCCGTTCAATGTTGGTCGCCTCTGTTACAAACGTTTCGACGGTGGTCGGTGGGTTGCGGAGGAGGCCTCCGAAAATGTCATCTCGTACGCCTCGCATCAGGATCCGCAACTTCTTTTCGTCGGTGGCGTGAGGGTCGGCGCGAGTGACCAGGCGCAGGACATCCTCGACGAAACTGGTGAGGGTCTCGTTTGCGCCCTGGGTTCTCATTCGAAAAAGGTCCTCGGCCCTCTCCCGTCGATACTGATTTGTGAAAGTTCGCCTCAACTCATTCTTGCAGGCGGTCCACGAGATCAATGATGTCTCCCGATTCTGGAACCAGTGCCTGGCCGTTCCTTCGAGCGCGAAGTAAAGGTTCTGCAGGCGCTGGTCCTCCGTCCATCGGTTGTGCTGGGCCACCCGCTCGTATTATTGAAGCCAGTCCTCGACGTCTTCGTGGGCGTCCCCGTGGAATGGCGTCGGAGTCCGGGGTGCGACTGGTAGGTAGATGAAGGCAGGAGCGGCCGGGGTCTGTGACTGCTGGCCGTCCATCGTCGGCTTCGTTGGCTGCTTGGTCCTGGGTGGCAGAAGTCCGTATTCCGGGTGTAGACCTTGGGTGCGGCGACTGGTCCGAGTTTCAGGTTCCGCGTCGGGTGGTCTTCTCACCGGGCTCGGAATGGGGCTTGCACTGCGGGCCCTGGGAGGGGAACGCTGCACGGGCATGCGCTACCCCGCACCTCCACCAAAATGTCACGGGTGGTGACCAAAAAAATAGGAAATAAACAGGAAGAAATAAACGTTTAATGTGGCGAACTTGTGCCAAAAAAATAAAAGGGGTACAACGATAATAACAGAGCGTCGCGGGCGTCGAAGTCGGCGGAGCAGCACAGTCGAACGCTGGGGCGAAAACTGAATTCGCTCGCCTGGCGGAATCCCTTATTTACCCTCGTGGGTTTCTGGATCGTTCGGCGTAGAAGGTTCGGTGTGTAGAACATTCTAACCTCGAATCAGCAAGACGGTTCTCGAATTCACTAGAACATCAAATTACACTGTCAACAAAAATGTGCAGTCGCGGCCAGGAATCGAACCCTGGCCTTCTGCGTGGGAGGCAAGCGCGATAACCATTAGGCCACGCGCGCGCTGCCCACTTGTCCAGCTGCGCGCGCTGCCTACTTGTCCAGCTGCGCGCGCGGCAATATAACGGTTCGGGTTCGGGTTCAGTTCCGGAAAAAATACCGGTTCGGTTCCGGTTTTCGGTTCGGTTCGGTTTGGTTCGGTTCCGGTTCGACACCCTGATATATATATATATATATATATATATGTATATATCGTTTACTATTCATGCTTAATTCGCTATTATTGAACGAGAGTTTATGGTTCCTTTTGACGTAATATTTTTGTTGTTGAATTAATTAAACTCAAGCCGCGCAATAGCAGGGGATACTCAGCTTACGGAACAGGAACCGGCTTTGTGTTATCGTGCTGATCACGAGAAAGTCGGTCGTGGTGGTGGCTTCGGAGCATAAGTGACCAAATAGCTAGATCCTGGGGCGACTTGATTGCCGGGTCGAGTTTCCTTTATTTCCCAGCCTGTCGGAAACAGACAAAGCAAACAAAAATCAATCGTGAGGATGGCCGAGCAGGCGTCAAACTTGGCATACCAAGTGCCGATTTTTTTTTTCGCCGTTCGCTCGCGCGTTTTTGGGGCAGCTATTTTTTCCCGTGAAAGCTAATCAACTATTGAAATATCATGAACGCGAGGCCTCACTGTTGCGACGGTGACTTGCACTGTCAAATCTCTGTGTGACATATTCGCCCCACGCATGCGCGCCATATGTTATCGCTTGGCGCTCTGGCTACAAGAGCGGAAGGCCAATGTTGTGTGGATCACTTTCATCTTGTTCGTTCTTGACGATTGACCATGTTGTCGATAAAGCAGCAAGCCCTGCTGCCTCGGCCTCTGTCCGACTTCCCACAACTTAACAGTGGCGACGAGATGTGGGTCAGCAAGCCTGGTTGCTGAAGAAGCATGAGCGTGGAAGAGGGCGACAACACCTCAGACAGGACTATACAGAACAGTTCCGTCTTGGGGCACCTTTTGGAATTTTATCCGGAGAAAGGCAACTTTGAAGTTTATGTGAAACGCTTTGAAGCTTTCGCAACTGCAAACAAGATTGACCTGGCTACCAAGCAGCAGGTATTTCTCACGCTTATCGGGGAGGCGGCGCTCATCACGCTTCGAAATCTGCTCTTCCCGAAAAAGCCTGTGGAAGCCAACTACGACGACATCGTCAAGATCCTCCTGAACCACTACGCTCCCAGGCGTTCGGGGGTGGTGGAACGATACAAATTCTACCGAAGGGATCAATGTCAAGGTGAAAACATCTCTGACTTTGTCGTGGAAATCTTCGGCACGTCTCTAGAGGAGGCGCTTCGAGACCGTCTCATCGCGGGACTACAGAATGACGCAATCCGCTTCAAGTTGCTGGCGATAAACAATAAAGACCTCACCTTCGACCAGGCTTACAGCTCTGCCTTGGGAATGGAGGCGGCGCAAGGCCAAAGCAAGGAGGTTCGGCGAACAGAGGAACCCTCAGCTAGCCCCAGTGTCCAAGGCGACGTCAACTGGCAGCGAAGGTCCACATAGAGACAAGGTAAAAAGAACTTTCCGGCTTCAAAGACTAATGCCACTTGTACTAGGTGTGGTAGCGCACACAACTCAAAGGTGTGTCCTCACTTAAAGAGCAAGTGTTTCAAATGCTCAAAACCCGGCCACATTGCGAAAATGTGTAGAACAAGCATCAAACCAGTAACAACACTAGAGAACGCCGTTAAGGAAACTGAATTGATCAAAAATAAAGCAAAACCAAAGGCAAACGTCTACTGTGTAAGCGTAATGATTGACGGCAAACAGGTCGAAATGCTAGTAGATGGGGACCTTCTGTTTCAATATTGAGCGAAAGCGCATTTTGCAAAACGTTTGAGAACAAACGCTGTGAAAAAAAGCAACGTAAGGCTAAAAGCTTACAATAGAAGTTCGATTCCAGTAAAAGAATTTGTTAGCATTCGAGTAACGTACGAGGAAAACGACCACACTCTGCCGTTGATCATTGCGCAGAATGTAAAGGAACAGTCACTACAAACTTGCTGGGTCGCGACTGGTTATCAAAAGTGCGATTGAACTGGTCTCAGATAATCTCAGTGCACACGGTCATGACGAAAGTGTCATTAAAAGAGAAGTACAGTGACGTGTTTGAAAGCGGATTCAGCGTAATCAAAGGCTTCAAAGAAAGCTTACTTCTTAAAGGGGCACTGACAGGGTATTTATGCTCGCCGAGGTTTTTAGTTGTACGTGACATATGAGAGCTCAACTACCCAGAACAGAATTTGCGGCTCAAAATTCGGTTTCTTTCCGCCCGAAAACCGCCGATCAAGAGCTGGCCGGTTCGAATCTCGCTCACTCTCTTTTCCGCGGTCACGGGCCGTTTCCTAAGGTATCGATGCGACCACCAAATTTAATCAAAGTCGTAGGTCAGTGAAGGCAGACACTCAACATTAAAAATAGTAAAAAATATGAAACCCATTTTTTGTGGCTTCTAAAAAGTTGCAAATACGTTGATTGAAAAAAAAAGTTCCACAGACAACCGGAAGCAATCTGTGCGTGCGTCGTTTCGCGTATCGTGGGACTCGCAGGGACGGCGATAGCAGCGGACGACGGGCGTGGGACCTCCATTTCAGAACTGTCGTTCGCGATACCGGCAAATTTTGTCTGCCTTTAAAAGAGAAATTTGGGACTGATCAAAAGAACTGGTATTCATCCCGTACGACACGCCCGATCACCAAGCCGATTTGCACGAAGACGTCGCCGAGCCGTCGCTCCCTTCTCGTGGCTGAAGACATCGCTCGCGCAAACGTCAAGCACGACGTGTCTACTTCGAGGTGAGTATGCACGCGTACGATTTTTTTACTACGTGAGAATGTCGCCAATGCGCGGTGCATCCCGACTTCGACCCGGGAGTGCTTTTGCTAGAGGAAAATCGGCAGCAAACTTTCCAACTTACAGTTTATCGGCTGAGTTATTACTAAGGAAAGAGATTCCCCAGTTTCGGTATGACCTCAGTGGGGAAGACGTCCGCTTCACACGCGGTAGGACCGGGTTCGATCCCCCGTGAAACCTTTTTCTTTTTTTTAAAATATCTTTTGATGTCTACATCTTTTTCTTTTTAAACAATTATCACTGAAGAAACAAAAAATAAGAAACAAATGTTGTGGACGACACGTCGCTGAATTAAATGGTACGGGATTTCCTTTTTGACACCTGCGAACTCAATGTAATCACCTTCCACAAAATGCAAGAAGCATATAAATCAGGTAGCGTCCGCTTTCCGAGGTGCCCGTAAATGGTCTACAGGAATTGCAGCCAGCCATTGATCCCGATTCCTTTGATCTTTCGGAAACTCTGTCGCACAATGCCACTTCTGTTTCGGACGCAGGGCATGTGAGCCAGCTCTTCAGGCAACATCTAGGGTGTATTGTTTTCGGAGCCGATCAAAATTCACCACGGGCACTCACTACTCATCTCCAACTCCTCAATGTACAAAACAACTCATCTTGGAGTACAGAACAACGAGCGGAACATACATAACTGCAAAAGAATCGCTCGGTGAACAGTTCCGGTACGCCGCATGCCGTCTGCTGCGGGAAGGAGAAAAAAAAAAAAAAAAACACACGGTCGCGTGTCGCCACGTGACTTCTTTGAACTTTGAACTTTATTTCAGCAACATTATGCCGAGGACACCGGACAAAAAGCTAACAGAAGCTAGCTTGACTGGGTCCGGACGTCCGCCACTCACTCTCTTCTCTCCACCTCTCCGACCTCCGTCGGGTTTCGGTTTCGGTTTCGAGCAGTTGCGTCTTTTGGCTTTATTAAAAAATACGCTACTCTGTTGCAAAATATTAATTGGGTAGTCCTCCGACACCATAATAAAGCGCCTGGCAAAAAATTAAAAAAAAAAGTGTTGGGGGGTGTCAGTGTCCCTTTAAAGATAACGCCCGGCCTATTTTTTGCAAAGCAAGGCCGGTGCCTTATGTGCTCCGTGAAAGCGTAGAGAAATAGCTAAAATCTTTGAAAGAAAACGGTGTAATATACCGATTCCAACACAGCGATTGGGCAACACCCTTAGTCGTTGTTCCAAAGGAAGACAAGACAGTGAGACTCTGTGGGCATTATCCTGTCACAGTAAATCCACATTTGAAGGTAGATCACTACCCGCTTCCATTGCCCGAAGACATTTTTGCGGCAGCAGCGGGAGGAGCAGTCTTCACTGTCCTCGACTTGTCAAAAGTTTACTTGCAACTAGAGCTCGAGCACCATTCGCAAGAGCTTCTAACGGTGAATACCCACCTCGGGTTACACCGGTTCCGACGACTTCCCTAAGGAGTGGCAAGTGCGCCTGCATTGTTTCAGTCAGTGATGGATCAGATCCTTAAAGAAATGCCAAGCACTGCTTGCTACCTTGATGATGTTCTAATTTCCGGTAGAACACACGAGGAATGCACAGAAAACACCGAGCGTGTTTTGGAACGGCTACAAAAGCACGGAATACGTGTAAACCCGAGGAAGTGTAATTTTTTTCAGAGAAGTGTCAGGTATCCTGGACACGAGATAAGCAGAAATGGACTTCAGCCAACAAAAGAAAAGGTGGAAGCGATGTTGAAAGCGCCAGAACCACAAAACGAGAAAGAGTTGAAGGCTTTCTCAGGCCTACTGAACCTTTACGCAAAAAATCGTAAGGGTGCAGGCGAGCTGGTGAATATTAATCATGTTGAATCAATCTAAGACTGGGGTAGAGAAGAAACATCAAAACGTAGAAGGGACAGAAAATAGACAAGATGATGTCTCAATTGAGACGTCATCCTGTATATTTTCTGTCCCTTCTACGTTTTGATGTTTCTTCTCAACCCCAGTCTCAAGTTAATTCAACATGATTTTACACAAAGTTTTTGCCGTGCCTTGCCTCAACACTAGAACAAATGCACAAACTGCTCAGAAAGGGAAACGCATGGAACTGGACGCAGGAGTGTAAAGAAAGTTTTGAGTGTTGCAAACAGCTACTGTGCAGCAACCCTGTTCTTGAGCTCTATGACGCAGCAAAACCGCTCAAATTGACGTGTGATGCGTCTTCTTACGGTGCGGGTTCTGTTATCTCTCGTGTGATCAACGGAGAAGAAAGGCCAGTGACTTATGCATCCAGAGCGTTAAGGGCCGCTGAGCGGAACTACGCTCATATCGAAAGAAAAGCGTTGGCGGTCGTGTATGGCATACAGAAATTTCACAAGTGTCTGCATGGCCGTCTGTTTACCATCGTAACAGACTACCAACCGCTCACGCATATTTTCGATCCGAAAAAGCATTCTAGCTCCATAGCCGCCGCAAGAATACACCGCTGGTCCAACTTACTTGCCAGTTACCAGTACACCATCCAGTATCGGAAGGGTGGTTGCATTGGAAATGCAGACGGGTTGTCCAGGTTACCGCTATCTTGTCCGCGGACGCAGGAAGCTGTTCATTGTTTCTCGCCCGTTCCTGACATGCCGCTAACAGCTGAAGATGTCGCAAAAGAAACCGAGAAAGACGATTAGCTATGGCAAGTTCACGAGATGACATGGCATGGTTGGCCCAAAGGTGTTGACAAAAAACTGGAACCGTACTTTATCGGACAGTACGAACTCTCATCGGACATGAACTGCCTCCTATGGAACAACCGCGTGGTTCTGCACGAAGAACATCCAGGAGTTAACAAGATGAAAATGCTTGCTCAGGGGATCGTGTGGTGGCGACGCATTGACAAAGAGCTTGAAGAGTTTGTCAGAGAGTGTGATGTTTCTGACAGTGTCCGATACCAGCAGCACCGTTACAACCGTAGTTGTGATGTTCCAACGATTGGAAACGCGTCCACCTGGACTTCGCCGAAAAAGATGGCAAAACTTTTCTGGTCATGGTTGACTCGCATTCCAAGTAAACTCACGTCTAGCACAACCGCTCAAAAGACGGTAGAGGTTGCACGGCCGGTGTTTGCGTCCTATGGACTACCGGTCGAAGTTGTGACAGACAATGGTCCACAATTTGCTTGTCACAAGTTTCAAGAATTCCTTCGTAAGAACGAAGTCAAGCACATGCTAACGCCACCATACCACCCGTAGTCAAATGGGGCCGCTGAACGGGTAGTTCAGACTGTAAAGAAGGCTCTGTTAAATCGTTGTTGGCAGACCAAAGGAATGACTGCACAGGAAGCATGCAGCACAAGATTGACAATCTTATTTTTTCATACAGGATGACATCGCATTTTTTTACGGGCGAGACTCCCAGTGAACTTTTCCTCTGAAGAAAACTGTGAACGAGATTATTTATTTTGAAACCAAACATGACACGAGCAATGCAAACCAAAATGGAGAGCATCGAGAAGAGCTGGAAATAAACGCCGTGGTACTGATCGCACCTTTTCTGTGGGGAATGCAGTAATGGTGAAATCCGTGAGGGCTGAAAGTGTCAAATGGTTTAGGGGAACAGTGATTAAGGTTGTGTCTAACGTTACATTTTTGGTACGGGTACAGCAGCGCATCAAATTTGTGCACGCAGATCATTTG